CTCAATATTATTTCGAGCCAGCGAAAGTTATCGTCGTAATTACGACGATAAAGTGCAGGGGCTGCCGGCACAGGGTTTTAATGTTATTTGAGCACGGTCATATATGCGTACTGCGGTTTCATGAAATCGACGAAAGCGATCTCGCAGTAATGAACCCTACTTATGTAGTAGTGGAAATGAGGCCTGAAAGAAATTCATGCCCTTACAAGATTGAATCCATTACCTCTATGACATCGGTGCAGTGCTCTACCAACTGAGCTAACAAGCCAACTGGGAGCTGGACATGATCTTGGTTCGTATTAACATAGGCAGGGTTCATTACTGCCAGGATCGCTTTCATACATTTTTTGAGCACGTTCGTCGACTTATTTGTTTCAGTGTCTTGGCATAATTCTGTGTTCCCCAGGCCCCATGTCATATCACACTCCAGCGAGTTTTACGCTTGAATGTTCTACTATTAAGCTACAGATTACCCGACGGTGGCTTAGATCGTTAACCGTCTTTGAGATTTTTGAATACAGGTTCAGAACTTAAGACGCAGTCCCTCTAACTGAAAAGCGATCATTTTCAGAAGGGAAGCACAGTAGTTTGTGCCATTCTTGATGAACGGCGATGTTAAAAGATAGGCCGTTATGCACTGAAGCGATTTGCGTTCGGAAAAAAAAACTTGTTTTGCGACATTTCGAAAAACCACTGGTGGTTTCAATTTTATGAAATCAACTATAATTCTCAAATGTACTTTGACAATGGAGGATAACTTGCTCACCTCATCCTCTCCTGATTTCAACCATCGTACTTTGGTTTCCTTGTTCCCTGACAGCAGATTGTTTATCCAATCAGCACAATGGAGACTTTCCTGTGTAACTCGCTTTGCTTCGCTGAAAGCTATTTCCGTTTATGTAATCTTCTGTTTATTTCGAGAAAATTGAAGTACTCTCTATCTATATAAGTAACACAAGAGTCGAGTGCAAAAATCGCGCGATAGTTGGACAGTTGGTTATTTTGCACTGTGACAAGACCTTAATAAACGGTCATTTTCGCTTGCTACGCGTCCTGTTCTATCTGTTTCACCTGAGAAGAAATGTGCATAAGACAAAACAGTTTGAAAACAAATAATATATTTAATGTTTTGGTGTGAAGTATCGCTGAGTATTTTTTCTTGTTTTTTGTATTATGACCCGCCCGTTACGGGCTCGTCAAAATACGGTCTATTTTGTAAAAATGCTCCGCGATACTAAACACCAAAACGTCCAACAAGACGTAGTCAGTCAGTCAGTCAGTCAGTCATGCCCTCAGTGGCATGTAGGGCAGCAACCGTGCTCCCTCCACATCTGCCGGTCCTTTGCCATGAGTTTGGTGCCAGCCCAGGTCTTCCCCGTCTCCTTAATTACTTTCTCTACTGTTC